TATGGCCCAAGAGGCCGATCCAGGTGGGCAGAATAGGGTATGGTCAGAAGCATGGTGGTGGTGCTGCTGCATATCCAGCTCCTGCCCTGTGGTTCTGGCGCCAAGTACTTCTTCAAAAGTCTTCTACCTGGCTGGGTCCTCTTCCTGATTGTGTTTGCCACCACTGTGTGTGTTGTCTGTGCAACATAAAGAACCTGATGTTGCTTCATGTCAGTCACTTGTATGGGATCTGAGTGGAAGTATGAAGGGTTCATCACTTCCCTCTCCCCTAGCCCTGTATTGTCACAAACTACCAGAGCCCCCTCCATCTGCCTGGAATCATGGAGGTTCTGCCTCCATGTGTGTGTGCCCTGTGTGCCCAGTGCCAAGCATGAACTACTGTGGGCCAGCTCTGTTGGACTGGCCTGCTGGCTGGCCGAATTCATCTTTATTGACTGGAAGTGGATCAGGGATGCCTGAGGTCTGACGTCACCCAGACTTTGCTTACCCAGGACAAGTCAGTCAGGGTTTTCCGAGGTCACAAGAAACCACAATGGCTCCATGCTGCCCTTCAAACATGGCACCTTCCACCTTGCAGTGGCTTCCACCTCCCGGGTCCCATTGCCTACTCAGTCATGTACTCCTACAAAGACTTCTGTAAGAAAGAGTTGGTTCACTGTAGGGCAACGTCAAGTGCCAGCACTGCCTCCAGTGCCTGCAGGATGGACTTCAGGTGACATCCCAGATCTGGCCAGCAGAGGCTGACACTCCAATCTCACTGTTTTCTGTGCGATCTTCTTGGATGATGATCTGAGGGGTGCAGTGAGCAAGGTCCTTGAGCTTTGCTCTCATCTACCCCCCTCCTCCAAGTCCTTTTCCTGCAGCAGGGACAAGTCCTCTTTCTTATTCCCCATCTCCCTACTTGTTCTCTTTGGAATCTCCAACTTCTGAAGCGAGTGTGGATGTAGTACTGCTTCCACCCATCCCCCAGCTCTCTTGCCTCAGTGCAATCTACAGTTTGACCCACACCCACCTCCGTGTCATTTTGTCTGTTGAACTCCCCTTCTATCTTCAGTTGCTCCCCAAGCAGGAGCACTCTCCAAGTCCACAGATTCCACGGACTCATCCATTTGTGAAGTCTCCTCAAACCAACTGGAAGCTGATGCCTAGAAGACTCTTTCCAGGATCATCTTGGGACTATTTCTCAGCACCTTCACCTTCCTCCTATGAAACTTCCCATTGACGAAGATCCCATCCCTGCCTGTGCCAAGGGTTGCCAGTTTTGGTTACACATTTCAGCTTCTTTCTGTCCCTATGGCCTACCCAGCTCCTCTGCAGTCTTGCCCTACCATTCTTTATAGACATCAGGGGAAGGGGCAGACATTAGATACTGCTCTCACTTATATTGTTATCACTTTGCTCCTAGTGTGTTGGGAAAAGGGATGAACCCTGCCTGAAAAGGACAGGAGGGCTCTTAATTTATTTCTCTTTCTATTGAGGCTTCCTGAGTCAGTTTTCATTTTCTTCTTGTGGGATTAACCACTCCCTGCCACCCATCCCAGACCCGGTCCTACAGCCAAAAAGGTCAGCTGGGAGCAAAAGGAGAGAGTGGGACCTGGTTTTGAGTGTTGTACTTTATTATTGGATAACAGCAAAAAAGAAAAAAAGATAGAAAAAAATTAAGTCCTCTTGATCTCTCTTAGCTCCCTTAGCCAGCATATAATGTCCATCTCTATGTCATTACTTTTTATAGTTTGGTAATTGCTCATAGACAAGTATGGTCATCCCTGCTTTTTTATTATTTGTCTGCTCAGTGTTCTAACTCTGCAAGCTTATTGGTGGGCTCTTCGATTGGTTTCTTTCATTCAATGGTCCTAAATAGTACTGCTGCTTTGAAGTCTTTTCAGGGCAGTTTAGAGAAGTCCGAGTACCTTCTGAATTCCCAAGGCTGTCCTCTCTCTCAACTTCTGTTCAACATAGGATTAGAAGTCTGGTCTTCCTAAAGACTTTCCTGGGCTTTTGTCCCCACCCAGTGAAACAAATGTATTCCTCAATTTTTGCAAGGTTTGGGCTTTGCCTAGTGGTGCTCAAGGGTTATTTCTGGATGTGTTTTCAGTAGTGACCCCAGGTGGTGACGAGGGATTTGTACCAGAGGCTACCTATAGGGCCCTTAATCCCTTTACTATCTTTCTGGCCCATCATCAAGTCTTGTGTTTGTTTTTTAATTACAGTTTATGTTATGTGAGAATTAGGGGTAATGCTGAGTCTGTGTGTGTGTGTGTGTGTGTGTGTGTGTGTGTGTGTGTGTGTGTGTGTGTGTGTTTGTGTGCTGGAAAGATCAAGCTCAGCCTGTGGTTCTGAGGTGAATGCATCTGAATGATAGTGGCAAGATCCCAAGGTCTCACTGGCCTACGTTCTGGCCCGCCGTTTTTAGTTGCTGGTATCTTGCAGCTGATGTGGAGTCAAAGTTTGGTCATCTGGGCAGCAACTGCAGACTCACTCACCTGTACCAAACAACTGCTCTTCGGAGTCACAGGGACTTGCGTTTTCCAGGACTGGCTCTGGGGTAGGTGTTCCCAGCTGCAGCTGGAGTAAAAGTTTCGGCACTGGCTCGAGCTTGCTTCATTTCCTTACCACATGGAGGGAGCAGGCATACAGAAGAACTTCTGTCAAACCTGTGCACTCGGCATCCTTCTGTGGTAGATATTCACAGTGAAGCTAATTGGACTGGCACCTGATTTCTGTCCAGCGGAGAGAAACAATGACTTGTCCAGATAATGAATTAGACTCGACAGCCCAAAACAAAGAACTACTTGGCTTTTTATTAAACTAAATGTCTATACCCCTTCCACCCTCTAGTCATGTACACTATATAAAATGAGTTAGTATAAAAAAAAGGGAATATTAGTGCAGCTGTGGCCATGGGTAGGAGACATGCATGAGGGACTGGAGGAGACGGGAATGAGGGGCAGTGGGAGACTGGAATGGGGCATGCAGTGAGGCTGGAACAGGCACATGGGGAGAATGGAATAAACTCGGGACGAAGATTGGAATAAACTGTGACTGATCACCAGCCAGTCTGGCCGTTCCCTCCTTCACGTTTCTATTGGCAGTGGTTGAAGTCCAGGATGGGGAAACAGCTCCTGGCCCAGAATGCAAGTGGCAAGAGAGAGCACCGAGCCTCTTATTCATTTTTTGAATACACAGATCCTAAATAGGTTAGTCAAAATAAGTTCACTAAGTTTAATTTAGTTATAAAATAAGGTTCATCTGACCTTTAATTTTAGTTAAAAGAACTTAAATAGGAGGGCACCAAGTTAATAGGAGAGACATGGCCAGAGATGTAGAATAGCAGAACACCTGAAAATCTGGGAATGTCTGCATCTAGGAAAAGTATCTTCAATGAGTTTAATTCTTAAAACGGTCCTATTTAGAACTTAAAGATGTGGTTCCTCACCAACTCTCATTGATTAGGTTTTCACCTCTTATTACTGGCTTTTAACTGATCCTTTATCCTTATAATTTAAAACCTATACCTTATTCTAATTTGCATCAAAATATAGAATGTATCAAATTATAGAATCCTTTTCCCATAGATTTTTTTTTCTGGAATACAATATTTAAATCACTACATACAAATATTCAGCAAACTGAATCTTTTTTGGCTGGGGGTACACTCAGTGGTGCTCAGAAGCTATGCCTACCTCTGTGCTCAGGAGTGACTTCTTGTGGTGCTCAGGAAGTGCTCTGTGAACCATAATTAGTGCTGGGGATTGAACCAGGGATAAACCAGGGTCAGTCAAAGTGTCTGTATGTAAGTGTCTTAAGTCCTGTATTATCTCTTTAGCCCAACCCCCAAATCTTTATTCAACATGTGTTTTTATCTGTTCTATTCTCTGCCAGCTTAGTTTGAAGTGCCAACCATTTGCCTTCTACTCTGTTTTTGCTATTGTTATCTTCACTGTTCTAAGGGATTGAACCCAGAGCCTTACACATGTAAACGCAAGAGATCAATCACTAACCTACATGTACAGTTGCCATTCACTCTTTCACAGATTTTATCTCTAGAAACGATATGTGTGCGTAGTTTGGGACTGAGAGTTGCTGTGCAGAAGAGGGCCCAAAGATGGTAGTGGTTTCAAACTAGTGACGGAAATTGCAAGGTGCTGATAATTGGAACTTTACAAGTAGAATACCGGTGGGCGTGGTTTTCCACGTGGCTAACACTGCCACCAGGTAATCTCCCCCACCATATCCCATAAGATCCAGAAATTAGCCTCGTATGTGGAACTCTCACTGGAGCAGCCTAGACACCCCAACCACGGTAGGCAAATAGTCATTAGTCCCTACTCAATCAACATTCCTTCCTAAAACACATAAGTGATGTGAGCTCAATGACAAAACAGATGATGTGTTCTCAGGAAGCTAGCTGCTTCTTTGTTCTCACAATAGTCTATTTTCTGAAGTATCAGGGATGGGCCTTTTATTTCTGATGTGCATACCTATTTTTGCATTTGTAAGCTCTGGTAAGTTTTAACTGTCATGTTCCCTTTGCCTCATTTTTATTTTCTCTATGGCTTTTGTTCTGCTTTACAAGTAGCATACTTTCTCATACTATGTAAGAGAGACCCAAAAGTTTTCTGAAAATATCCAGATCCTAAAAATGAAATTATATTTTGATAGCATATCATTTTATGAGGATAATGAAGAATGATATTTTTGTTTCCCTGAATTCTGTCTGAAGCCCGAATTTCTACCTCATTAGGACTTCTGGCTTTTACTAGTTTATTTATATCAAGACTATATAAATATAACACAATTTACAATATGAAGATAGTAGTTATGTACTTTTGATGCCGAAAGATGAGATTCTAATTAAGAAAACACAATGACAACATGATCTAATCCTGATCCCATATAAGTACCAATTTTATTCCAAATAATTACATAATTTAAAAAATTTGCCAAAAGCTTTTACAGATACTAACCTCAGCAACATTAATCCAGCAACATTTTGTACATTTGTTAGTATTAATTTGTTAAACTGAAATATTTCAAAAATATCATAGTTCCTACAAATTTCACTTTAAAATGTAAAAATTCTACTTTTTTCATGATAAATAATGCTACTGATATCTTTACTTGGTAGGCTTTTAGTTAATTTGGTGATTTACAACCTTACAAATATGGCATATAGCATTTTAAGAATGCTAACAGTAATAATAAACAGCCAGTCTAATGACATGGATTGGAGGTTAGAGAATTACATTTTGTTAAACCCAAATTGAACAGCGTTGAGTTTAGGTTAATACAGAGAAAGGCATGCTCTGGATGTGTTGTCCTTTGTATTTCTTGAAGCATCAGATGAATAGTAAACAGTTCAAAGAGCTTCTTATTACTCCTATAAGAGAATGAGCATATTCATTAAATAGCACGCACTTGTGGAGTTCATCAGTAATGAAACTGAGGAAATTTATGTGTAAAGGTGGAAGAATGTTTTCTGATTTTGAAAATAGTGGGAAAACTGGATAAATAAAAAAAAAGACAAAAGAGATTTTGTAAGATAGATCTTAAATGGAAATGTATCCAAGTAAAAAAGAGACAAAGTTTTCAACTAATGAAAATTGCATCTTTCTCATCACTACTGAGCTGCAGATTTTTTCCCTCATAACTACAGTCAAACACTTTATTTTGGCAGGATTGGGGGTGGGGGCCAGGGGACAACCTCAGACTGCGCTCAGGGCTTACTCTTGGCTCAGTACAAACAAAAAAAACCCCACCCAGAATTGTATCTAATAATGCATAAAGTAGACTATGGACTGAACATGTTTGCCACTCAATGCCTCTTTTGCAGACCACAACACCCAAAAGGAGAGAGAGAACACAGGGGATTGCCCTGCCACAGAGGCAGGGGGGGATGGGGGGATGGGGGTGGGGGGATATTATCCATGGTGGTGGAAAATGGGCACTGGTGGAGGGATGGGTATCTAATCATTGTATAATCGAAACCCAAGCACAAAAAATTGTAAATCTACAACTGTACCTCATGGTATTTCACTAATAAAAAGAAAAAAGAAAAAAAATATTATACAATCTTATACAATCATTCATTTGAAATAAAAGGAATTACATCTTTGTGTTTTAAAATTTTTACACTAAGATTTTATTAAGCATCAACTATTTGTACTCAAATAGTTTGAATTATTTGGTCAGTGTTTCTCAACCAAGGGCCATGTGTCCTCTGAAAATCCCCCAAATATTCCAAGAAGCAACAGGTAAAAATATGTAAATGGGAGGCTACAGAATGAGACTAAGATGGGCACTACCACTGGAAAAAGAAAAGCTACCATTGGGGTCATAAAAACTTGAATTACTCTAGTTCAAGTTTTGTTCTAGTTGTTGATAAAGAACAAGATAAAGAACTAAGTGTAGGTCGCCGCCCACAAACAAGTCCTTTGGCTGCTGATCAGCTGCTTATCGGCCATAATCCCAGAAATTCAGAAACAAAACTTGAAACCCAGGGGGTTTTGGCAGAAATGCATCTGGACTATGCATTAGGTCTCCAGTGCCGAACCACCCCAGATGGGAATGGGTTTTGTGCCTTGGCCTGTTTCGCCTGGTGGCTCAGTAGCTGCTGCCATCTTCCAGAGGCGTAGGGACAGCCAGAGAGGGGCCTGCAGTGATGAGGGACATGGGGCCTCATGGGATGGGGTGGAGCCGGCCCACCCCCACACCCCTACGAGACCCCCGAGTTGCCACCCACGAACGAGCCCTCTGGCTGCTGATCTAGCTGCTAATTGGCCATGATCTCAGAGACTCAGAAACAAAGCTTGGAACCCAGCAGCTTTTGGCAAAAATCCCTCCAGATTTAATTATTAAAACTTCAGAATTCCAACATCGTGCAGCTGCTATCACTATCGCAGCTGCGCAACATCATTATGCTATTCATAATCAGCAATAGAAAACAAATCATCTACTGTTGCCTTTTCAGCAGATCTGAGTGTTGGGGTAAAATCCCAAATAATAATGGTGGGTTTGGTGTCAAAATATTTAATGTAATCAAAGTAGAAAGAGAGTAACGTGGAAATCGTCTGCCACACATGTAGGGGGGAAGGTGTAGGATGGGGAGGATACTGGGGGTTTTGGTGGTGGAAAATGTGCCAGTAATGTCTCTATTCGTTCCAGCACTGAGATTTATTTTAGCAACATCACAGATGTGATGAGCTTCTTGTGGTATATTGGTGGTGTAACATATGAGATGTCTCATGGCTGCAAAATGTGGCCATGTGGTCCAGGAATATATTCACCTATGGGTGAGGCTCATCTAAGCATGTGGAGATCGGCTGTGAACATGGCCGGTGATTGAGTTCTGGACGTTTTCAGCTACTGGGGCTGGGTCTGTTGGGGTGGGAAGGGGAACTCACCTCCCCCCAAGGTTGCCCTGAATGAAACATCCTGGCGCTGGTTTGGAGGCATCTCTATGGTGTATTGTTCTATACTATCTTTTGAGAGTAAGGTGCTTGAGGGTTCACTCCATGGCACCCTGTATAGTCCCGAGCATGACAAGAGTGATCCCAAGATCCAGAGACTCAACAATAAATCCCTCAAAAGAGCAATCCCTCCAACCATCCTGAGTGATCCCTCCAACCATCTATTAACTTAGTGATCCCTTCTTTATCCCAACATCTTCTCCCCTGCTCATGAGGCAGGTTTCCAACGATGGAAGGCTCAGCTTTTAACAACATGTTACTAATCTCTTATAGAAGGGCTTAATGGCTCCTGGGTGAAATACAACAATCTTCACACACTTTCCTCTAAGAAATCTTTTTTGGATCATTTTTAGCAGATTATTCATAACAAGCAATATAAAATAAATTACTTCAGTTCTGCTTTGGGGGCAGGTTTGAGGTTCAGGATGGAAACATTCAAAATATGGTAGTGGTAAGGTGTAATGGTGGTGGGATTAGTGTTTGAATATTAAATGTAATCAATTATTGTGAAAAACTTTGTAAACACAAAATAAAATTTAAAAATATTTAAAAAGTACAATCTCCCCCAAATTAGGTTTTTAAAGAACAAATTAAACAGTGGCACAATCTAGACTTTTAAAATTTTTGCTAGCACCCAGATGACAGTCTGTCCTTGAGTTAATCATCTATAACCTATCCTGTAGGAAGGGCTTTATATCTGTTGATTGTTTATTATAATGTTCAACCACATGTGTTTAGTTTTAACACACTTGACTGTATTACTTATATACATTCTCCATCCCTCTCAGAGAGCCCAGCAAGCTACCGAGAGTATCCTGCACGGCAGAGCCTGGCAAGCTCCCCATGACGTATTTGATACGCCAAAAACACTAACAATAATGGGTCTCATTCCCCTGACCCTGAAAGAGCCTCCAATACTATTGGGAAAGATGAGTAATGAGAGGTTGCTAAAATCTCAGTGCTGGGACGAATGGAGATGTTACTGGTGCCCGCTTGAGCATATCGATGAACAATAGAATGACAGTGATACAGTGATACAGTGAATGTTCAACCACACCTATGTGTAACTGCTACCCCCAACCCTTCATGATTCTCTATAACTAATGCTATGAGTAAATGATCACTGATTACCAAAAAAAAAAAAAAAACCGCACCTGAATGCTCTGAACAAACACCATGAACTCTAAGTATCTGTATTGCAAACTATAATGCACAAAAGGAGAGAAGAAGGAGAGAGACAGAGAGAGAAGAAAAGTGCCTGCCACAGTGGCAGCTGGGTTGGTTATGCTGGGGGATGATGAGAGGGAAACAGGAGACATTGGTGGTGGGAAACGTATACCGGTAGAGGGATGAGTGTTGAATCATTATATGACTGAAACCAAAACCAAATTATGAACAGCTTTTGTAAGGATCTATCTCACAGATATTCAATTAAAAATTTTTTAATGAAGTCATGTGGAGTTCATGCCAGCTTCAGTGGCTAAATAAACAGCAGTACTTATACATTTAAAAAAAAAAAAAAAGAAAAGAAAAAGCTACATCTCCAACAACTCAGCAGTCACGCCCATAAATTGCCTCTGGCTGTAGGCTGGTAACCTAGTCATGGCCACCACCCAGATCCCATGTCCTTCTCTCCCAGAAGGGAGCATAACATGACACTCGCCATAAACTATGCCACCAGACTCCACGCCAGGCTATTCCACTCGGAGCGCCCCAGAGGGAGGCAGGTGAGACCCCTCCCTGCCCCAAGGGACCCAACCCCAGCAGCCAAAAACCTCCACTACTCAACTGCTGCCCTACTCCCAGCCGCTTTCCACAGGCTCCAGTCGAGCTTCACTCACAAATGAACCTTTCCTGAACCGCGTGTCCACGAATCTTCATAGGATACTTCATAGGACACACCTTACCCATACTCCAAGAGTACCACACCACTTTTGATGGGCTCCAAAGTAGGAGGTAACCAACCTTAGAGGGAAATAAATTATTTTGGTTCTGCTTTGGGACAGGGATTGGGGTCTGGGATGGAAACACCCGAAATATGTTGGTGGGAAGATATATGGTGGTGGGATTGGTGATTGAATATTAAGTGCAATCAAATATTGTGAACTACTTTATAAAATAAAAAATAATCTAACTATCAAAACACTGTAAATCACTGTTCTTTAATTAAATAAACAAACTTTAAATATAATGAAAAAAATTCTACTTTCAGTCTATCACTTAAATAGGCGGTTTTACATATCATTAAAATTTATGAATTCAAATTTTCTACATGTTTTTTGTCAGTTTTTATTTCATAATCAAAACTGAACTGGTACAGAATACAAAAAGCTTATGATCAAAATAAGCTTCCAATAAAAATGTAAATACACTGACTACATAGACAAGGTAAACATGAAGTACAATTGCTTCAACAGAAGATACTACAAGATTGAAAAAAACTTTAATGCTAAGAAATAAAAATTTAAAATAATATAAATAAATTCTTACTTGATTTTGGAAAGTTTCTGTAGAATGATACTGAGCTTTTCTAGTATTTGAAGATCAAGCTTAGGAGTTCGAAGCAACACAGAACAGGTACGAAAAAATAAAGTGGTGCTACAGGCTTCTAGGAAAGGCTGCAAAGACTCTGCAAAATAAATCAGCAGTGTTTTACTGTTCAGGATGAGGCTAAAAAAGGAAACTTACAACAACAAAAAAAACTGATGCTATATGGGAAAACAACAAATACTGATTTGGATTTTCACTCTTTTTATACTTAAAGTATTTTGGGACAAAATATTTTCATTTAAAAAATTTACTGGCTCCTGTTGAACAGCATAAATCAAACATAAACTTATTTTTTGTAAAACAAAATTTCTGCTAGATAAAATTTAACATAAATCTATTTTAAAGAGGAATAGTACTCTCCTTAATAAGTTAGTTCACAGGAGGAACTGAAAGAGCAGCAGAAGAAAACTTTTGTTTGGAATAGGACAAAATCAAACAAAAAGCTTTTTTACAGAAAAGAAACCACCCAAACCATGAAAAGGCAACCTACTGGCCAGGAGAACATATCTGAGCATTATACATTTAACAAGGAGATGATATGCAAAATACATAACGCACAATTCAACAAGAAAAACCATCCAATCAAAAATATAAATAAATAAAGGCAGAACACTGAAAGGACATTTCACCAACATTTAGATGACTAAGAGACACTTGGGGGGAAACATGTTCATTATCACTTATCCTTAGAAAACTTCTAATTAAAACCACATTGGAAAAAAAAAATAAAACCACACTGAAATATAAGCTCACATTTGTAAGAAATGTCTATATAAAAATACAAGAAACAGTATTAACAAGGGTTTGGAGTAAATACTCTTCCAAAGTATAGTCTCTTAGAAAATGGAATGTAGATTCCTTAAAAAATTAAAAAAATCATAAGAGCCAGTTATTCTATTTCTAGGTATTTATTCTAAGAATATAAAACATCAATTAAAACAGATATATGTTCATACACTGACAATACAAAATTACACTAACAACAGCCAAGGCACAGAAACCCAAATACTATCAACAGATGATCTGATAAAGAAGCTATAAAATATACAAAAATACTACTTAGTTATTTTAAAATATTGACTTGCATTTATTTTAAAATTTTGCCTTCTGCTATAAAAGGTACAGAACTTGAGGTCAAGCATATTGTCAGTGAGGGACAAATACAAAATGGTTTTACTTATGTGAAATATATAGTAAACAAACTAACAAAAAACAAACTAAAAACACTGTGCCTCCAAAATTCAACTACCCGAAAATCAACTTAACAAAGGAGGTGAAATACTTAAAGAAAGAAAACTATAAATCACTTTAAAAAGAAAGTGACTAGAGAAAAAAGAAATATCCGACTACTCATGAATTGAAAGAATTAACACTGTTACAATGATTATCCTACTAAAGCTCTATATAGATTCCAAGCAGTTCCCACAAAAATTGCCATGGCATTTTTAAAGGATATGGGCCAAATGCTATTAAAATTTATATGGAGTAATAAAACTCCCATAATAGCCAAAACAATCCTTGGAAAAAAGAAGATGGGGTGGTTTTTCTTTCCCAACTTTACTCTCTAAAGCTCTAGTACCAAAGACTGTATGGTACTGGAATACAGACTCTCAGACCAATGGAAAAGAGTTTAGAACTCAGACAAAACTTCAGGTATATGGATAACTATTGTTCAACAAAGGACTTAGGTGTTTGAAGTGAAGTAAAGAAAGCCTCTTCAATAAATGGTACTAGGCAAAACTGGTCAGCCACAGACAGACTGACAGACCGAGACACACAGACACACACAGACACACACACACACACACACACACACAAACTTGGTTTCTTTCTAAACCCATACACAAAAGTGAATTCAAAATGGTTCAATGACCTTGATAGTAGACCCAAATCCATAAACTGCATCAATGGGAAAATAGGCACACCTTAAATGATGTGACTCTAGAGGCATCCTCAATGACTCAATGTCATTGACCAAGCAAACAGAAACAAACCAAAAACAAAAGGGGGGGCATCAAATTAAGAAGTTTCTGCACTGCAAAAAAGAAACAGTGACTAGAATAAAAAGACACTGTACAAACTAAGAGAAATATTTATTCACCATACATCTGACAAAGGACTGACATCCAAGATATATGGAACACTTGGAAAACTTAGTAATAAAAAAATCCAATAATATATGGGAAAAGGAGCTGAACATATATTTCCTCAGACACTTCTGAACACTTCGAACCCGGTTATATGAAAATATGCTTTTCATCACTCATCATCAGAGAAATGCAAATAGAATCAACAATGAGATTTATCAACACACCAGTGAGACTGGAACACATAAAAAGAGTGGAATAGGAACAACCAGTGCTGACCCAAAGCAGACAAAGACATTTCTAAAAAAATTTTTCAAACTTCAGACCAATCTCCTTGGTGAACACAGATGTCAAAATCCTCAAAAAAAAAATCTTAGCAAATTGAATCCAACAACATATCAAAAACAAATACACCATGATCAAGTGGGATTTAACCAAAAGATGAAAGGATGATTCAACATATAAAAATCAATTACTATAATATACCACATTACTAAAAGGAAAGATAAAAATCACATGATCATGTCAATTGATGCTGAGAAAGCTTTCGACAAAATTTAATATCCATTTACTACTGGGCCCGCTCGAGCAAATCGATGAACAACGGGAGGGCATTTACCTTTACTATTTTTTTAAAATGCCTCAACAAAACAGAAGTGGAAAGAACCATCTCCTCAAGATAGTAAGGGCCATTTATAAGAAGCCCACAGCAAATATTATTCTTAATGGTGAAAAACTTAAATGAGATCAGGATATGTACTGTCTTTTCTCTTAGTCAACATTGTATGAAAATTCCTAGCAACAGAAAAGGAAATCAGATGGGTCAAAGTTGGAAAAGAAGAAGTCAAATGAACTCATTTGTAGATGAGATGATATCATACAGACCCAAAAGAGTCCATAGAAAAACTTCTAGAAACAAGAAACCAAGACAGCAAAGTGGCTACAAAGTCAATACACAAAAATGAATTGCATTCTTATACACAAATAATGAGTCATAGGACAAAGAGCTCAAATAGTCATTCCTATTCAAAAGTGTTCAAGAATATCAAGTATATAGGAATCAACTTAACAAAAGAGGTGGGAGATCTATACCATAAAAACATGGTAGCACTGCAGCACTGTCCTCCCATTGTTCATCAATTTGCTCAAGTGGGCACCAGTAATGTCTCCATTGTGAGACTTGTCGTTACTATTTTGGCATACTGAATACATCATGGGTAGCTTGCCAGGCTTTGCCGCACAGGCAGAATACTCTTGGTAGCTTGCCAGGCTCTCTGAGAGGGGTGGAGGAATTGAACCCGGGTCGGCCACATGCAAGGCAAACACCCTACTCGCTATGCTATCGCTCTAGCCATGGTGTTTTAATAAAATTTGGAAAACAAAATAAAAAAGAAACAAACACCTATACGCAAACAGTGAGAGAGAAGAAAGCAACATGAAAAAAACAATCCCGTTCACAATTGTGCCCCAGAAAATCAAGTACCTAGGAATCAGCTTAACTAAGGAAGTAAAGGACCTGTACAAAGAAAACTACAAAACGCTACTTCAGGAAATAAAAGAGGACATGAGGAAATGGAAAGATATCCCCTGCTCATGGGTCGGGAGACTTAACATTGTCAAAATGGCAATAGTATCAAAAGCATTGTATAAATTCAATGCAATCCCTATAAGGATACCCACGACATTCTTCAAAGAAATGGAGCAAACACTCCTGAAATTTATATGGAACAATAAGCCCCCACGAATACTAAAGCATTCTTGGGAAAAAGAAAATGGGAGGAATCAACCTCCCGAACTTCAAACTCTACTACAAAGCAGTAATAATTAAAACAGCGTGGTACTGGAACAAAAGCAGAACTGCAGACCAATGGAACAGGGTTGAATACACTGACATCTCCCCTCAATTATATGATCATCTAATCTTTGATAAAGGTGCAAGAAATGTGAAGTGGAGTAAGGAAAGCCTCTTTAACAAATTGTGCTGGCATCACTGGATGGCTACATGCAAAAAAATGGGCTCAGAACTCTGCCTAACACCATGTACAAAAGTAAGATCAAAATGGATTAAAGACCTCAACATCAGACCAGACACCATAAGGTACACTGAAGACAAAGTTGGCAAAACCCTCCATGACATTGAGGCTAATGGTACTTTCAAAGATGCCACACCACTGGCCGAGCAAGTAAAAACAGAGATAGATAAATGGGACTATCTTAAACTAAGAATCTTCTGCACCTCCAGAGAAACGGTGACCAAAATACAAAGACAGTCTACAGAATGGGAAAGGATATTCACCGAATACACATCTGACAAGGGGTTGATATCAAGGATATACAAAGTACTGGTTGAACTCCACAGGAAGAAAACATCCAACCCCATCAAAAAATGAGGCAATGAAATGAACAGAAACTTTCTCAAAGAAGAAATCCGAATGGCAAAAAAGCACATGAGAAAATGTTCAACATCATTAATCATCAGGGAGATGCAGATCAAAACCACAATGAGATACCATCTCACACCTCAGAGACTGGCCCACATTCAAAAGAACAAAAGCGACCGATGCTGGCGTGGATGTGGCGAGAAAGGGACACTCCTTCACTGTTGGTGGGAATGCCGACTAGTTCAGCCCTTTTGGAAAACAGTATGGACGTTTCTCAAAAAATTAGAAATTGAGCTCCCATTTGACCCAGCGATACCACTCCTGGGAATATACCCCAGAGAGGCAAAAATGTGTAGTCGAAGTGACATCTGCACTTGTTTGTTCATTGCAGCACTCTTTACAATAGCCAGAAACTGGAAGAAACCTGAGTGCCCAAGAACAGATGACTGGTTAAAGAAACGTTGGTACATCTACACAATGGAGTACTATGTAGCTCTTAGAAAAGATGAAGTCATGAAATTTACATACAAGTGGTACAATATGGAAAGTATCATGCTAAGCGAAATGAGTCAGAAAGAGAGGGATAGACATAGAAAGATTGCATTCATCTG